ATATGCATGCTCTTACTCTTAAGGTCACCTTCGACTGACAGGGCCCGGAAAAATCAGTTGGCCGGATAAGATACGTATTCCCGGCAGGAATTAAAATTTTTGCCCGAGACGGTAAAGAACAGGCCAGCTTCCAAACATATTGCAAACTCTGATGCAATCGAACAATTTAAGGATTTAACGACATTTTGGTTATTACTATCTTTTGCTAAATTGTAACACTATTTATGATTGATGCAGCATACCGATTTTGTGAAGAAGCTTAACTATTTGGTTCTATTCAATGGCTCTAGAATTCATTCTAGATGAACATAATAGACAAAAATATCCAAGGAAATCGACGAGATCAAATGCTTGCACTGCAAAAGTATTGAAAGTTTGCACAAAGTAACTGAAAGAGAGACCAAAATATAACATCCCATGCTACAGAGCTCCCTAAATTAAATTCTCCAAATTCTATTTTCTGAATCATATTCAGTCAATAAACTTGATTGCATAACAGGATACACTGAGCATGTTTGTTTATGAAAATTTTTGGTTTTGTTTAGATTTTTTGGTTTGGGTTGGTTAATTTTGAAAAAGGTGGTATGGTTAGATGTTAGTGGGTATATTAAAATAATATTTAAAATAAAATAATCAAAATTGATTTGATGTAAAAGTATGAGAGAGATGATTTGAAGTTATGGTTAGTTAAAATAATATGAGTGGATGAATAGTAAATTAAAGTTGAGGTGGTGTGTATGATTGATTGATTGATATTATTTAATTATATTGATAATATTGATGATAGTGGGGTTGAGTTAAAGTTAAGTTAAAAAAAATGGTTGAGTTAAAATGTTGAAATTTTTTTAAAAAAATCTTATAAACAAACATGCTCACTTTCCTCGTTAAAATAAAAAAGGCCACAACTTTTTCTCTCACCCAACAAGGCTTTGTTGACACTGCGAGTAGCTAATAAATGACAATATAAGTTGATAGCTGATAACTAATTGAATAAGTATAATGTATATCTATATATATATAATTACTAGCTAATAGCATTAAATAAAACCTATTTAATTTTACCTATGTGGAAATTTAATAATTTCCCTCCAAAAACCGTTACATTTTGATATATTTAATCCTTCATTTAATCATTAAATAATTAATACTCATCACTTCAAAATTACAAAAATCATTTTAAACTTTTGATTAATGACGGTTGACCATATAATGTGTTGACCGTATAATGTGATTAGATGTTATTATTGTTGTTACATTTAATTTTTTTTTTGAAAATAAAAAATATATTTGAAATTCCTAAATAAATAATAAATAATTCACAAATAAAAGACGTACCAAAATATACATTACATCCAATCAGATAAACACAATTTAAAAAAAAAAAATTTCAACTCTTTTAATTGTAAATTTGGTCTGCAAAAAAGTGAAAGAAAAATAATTAATATTTATATGCATACAGACTCACAATAATTTATTTATATATGTGCAAATGCACAGGTCGAATACTAGTTTGATTAGATTTATGGATTAGCTAAAATATCTAAAGCGTTTTGTTAAATATTTAGTTGTTTGACATGTAAAAATAACTAAAATATCATTTCTCTATTCTAAACAGCCAAGAAATCTAGGACTCCACCACTTAATGTATTGACACATGTCCAAAGTGTATTTATTGTAGGACACCTGTAAACCGCTCCAAAAATTGAACTTTTGTCTAAACTCAGTTCTTTGAATCCAAAAATCTATGCCAACCGCTACAAAACAAACAATAATATTAGGGATTTTAAAGGGATAAACCTCTGATTTGGCACAAGAAAGGCTATTTACCAACAAAACCCAAATCTCACAGATGATTAATGGATAATAATATTAATTGGCCATAGAATCATCTCAAATATTCACAAACTCACTCCCAGAAAACAACAACAACAACAACAACAACAACAATAATGATGATGATAATAATAATGATAATAATAATAATAATAATAATAATAATAATAATAATAATAATAATAATAATAAATATGCACATTTCACAAGTGCTGCCCAGATAGAAAAAGGAAAAAGAAAATAAAAACGGCCATTGTATTTCATTTTTTGGGGTCTCTTTAACAAACTAAACAATTTATTAGTTACCTTTGTGTCGTCGGTAAGTCCATCCCCTTCGGCGCCAAAATCATTGATATTAAGAACCACAGGTGTTGAGCAGCTTGAATAATTTCTGTAAAGCCCATTTGTGGGGAGCTTAATTAGAGGATTAAACCCATCCGCGTCCGTGGTAATATGGAGTAAATAAATGTTTATGCACAAAATATTGAAAAACGAAGGTTTCAAACTACAGAGTGAAGAAGAAGATCTCGGCTCCATTCTTTGACACTGTGGTGAAGGCGACTTTCAATTATTTATAACCTACTAAAGAGCGAGCCAGAAAAGGAAAAGGGGCTGTATATTTATTACCAGTTAATAATTATTTTTCTAACTTTAGAATGTTATATTGATTTTTCTTCTTTTTTTTTTTAATAAATGAAAGGTATACAATGTGAGGGATCGTACTTACATTAATTTGTTTTTTATTACTACCTCCATTGTGTTAAATGTCATTTTAATTTTATCAACAATTAACCAAATAAATGACGTTTTAGATTATTTTTTCATTATTATCTTCATTTACCTAATAAATACACTACATCTTTATATTCATTCTTTATTTATTCTCAGAATATTTATCTCTATCATTATTAATAAGGTTATTATTAATAAAAAAAATTTAATTACCATACAACTTCTTAAAATGACATTTATTAAAAAATAAAGGGGAGTATTATATTTAGGGCGGAGGAAAACCAAGTTGAATCATGCTAACTCAATTTCAGTTTGACTTACGAGTTCGATTTTACATATTTCCCTTCGATATATTTTTGCACAAACCGAACCAACTTAATACAATCCGAACCAAATATATAGAAAAACTGAGAGAAACTAAAATATCCGAACCAAATATACATTTTTCCCTTCGATATATTTTTGCACAAACCGAACCAACTTAATACAATCCGAACCAAATATATAGAAAAATTGAGAGAAACTAAAATATCCGAACCAAATATACATTTTTCCCTTCGATATTTTTTGCACAAACCGAACCAAATATATAAAAAAACTGAGAGAAACTAAAACCCAACCCAACATGACCCCGATTCAATGTATTTGTATTCAAATGATCGTCTAAAATTTTTGACCTTATAGGCGCAAATTCTTCCCGCCAATTTTTGTTCAGTCAAAAATCAAAATCAATTACTCCCATCGAAGAGCAGTCGTTTTTTACTCTACCGCCTTTTGTATTTTTCAGATCCCGATCGGCTATCGGCTAGCGCTCGGTCTCTGCTTGCTATTGGTTAGTATTTTTTTGTCATATGCATACCTCTGAGCATGTTTTTATCTTGTTAGCTTTCGTAGAAGTTTCGTGTCTGAAGAATTTTCTTTTCTTTTCTCCATTTTTTCTTTTGCTGATAAGGTGCTTGATGAAATGCCCGTGTGGGATTTTTGCAGAAAGAGTGGGAGCCGGCTGAACTTTTTGGAAAATGTATGCTCGAAAAGCGAGCGAGTTGGTGAAAGAATTCGCTAGTAGTGAACCTGGGCAACTTAGCACTTTCAATGTAAGTGTACATTTATGTTTCTGTTTGTTGTTGGAATCAGAGATTTGTTGATCATGCATTATGATTTCGATTATGGTTTATTTCTTTTAGATTTCTCCCTTTTCAACAATCAGAAGACTTAGATTTGAATGCTTCTTTTGTTTAATATTTTGCATATATTTAAAGAAAATCATGTTCTGAGTGATGGTCAGTAATCACATAAAGTTACAAGAGCTTAAATTAGTTTGCTTACATTACTTTCTTTGCGCATACAGAACGACCTATTTGGTCAGGTGCTTGAAGAATGTGACGCACATTTCCTTCAGCTTCAACCTCTAATCAAGTAAACGGAAAATTTGTAGTTCTCTGTGTTCCTTTTTCCATTTTTCTCATTTTAACAATCTTTTATCTTTCTTGGCTTCTATAATGGTTTTCATATTCAGATATTTTTCCTCTGTTTTTTTTTNCTTTAATGGTTTTCATATTCAGATATTTTTCCTTTTTATTATCTTTTCCTTAGAAAAATATCTGACAACTAATGTGGTATAGGAAAATACAAGAACACGAGAAGGAATTGAGAGAAAAAGGACAACCAGACGATGAAGTGGGGACTTCTGAAGTAGGGAATACGAATTTAGAAGCCGAGAAGAATGCCATACAAACGGCCCTTAAATCCAATCAGTTTGGGGCACTCGTGCATCACCTTTCACTGGTCCGCAATAAGCGCTGTCTCATGGCTTATGTGTCAGTAATAACAATACTCCCAAAGCCCCATTTTTGTCTCTTTTAAAAATAAAAATTATTATTATTATTATTATTATTATTATTATTATTATTATTATTATTATTATTATTATTATGTCCCACTTTCTTTATATATCGTTCTTGGGAAATTTATAGATATAATCGAGCAGAGGTCATCAGGAGTTTGGGGTGGATGGTTGACCGCGTGCTTCCTGAAGAAATTGAAGAGAAACTCAGTACCACTGAAAAAGAATATTTCAAAAACCATACCGCCACTTTGCAGTCATATATGTCAGAGATTGATCTTCATCTGACTCTGGTAATTTATCTCTCTAGCAAATACTCCACACATTTATAATTCCCTTGTGGTCGAGAGTTCCTTGGTGGCTTGATTTGTGAAGTAGGTGAAAGCGTTCAGATGTTTCAGGGGTACCTTCAGTGGGGTACTATTTGGTATTTATTAGTCTGAAATCAATGGACATGTGTTTAATTTGAAGGATGATGTTGTCATGTTGATAAAGATTTGTGCTGAGCTTTTGAAGGCTCTCTTGTTCTCTATTAAATCTGCAGCTCTCGCCTATATTACAGCTCTTGTCTGAATTAGATATCAGTAGCTTATTATTATAGATATTAGAAACACTCCTGGATTGAAGGAAATTATATAGGTCATACTTCAGTGCTTGAAATGACATATGGTTCACTGCAATGTAGAATTTGGGGCTCGGAGAGTGTAGCTAGTGTATAACTGCGGAGACCACAACATGCAAAATGTATACATTTATTAAAAATGTGATTTTGGCAAATAGTTGCTTACCATGTAGCCTGATGGTAAATTTTTTATTTCACTATGTTTTAGGTGGTTTCTGAAGAAACATAAACATTTATCTCCGGCAATTTTATTCATGAACATCAATTTTTTATTGTCTTTGTTTTCTGGAATATGGTATTGATAAATAAATAATATGTAGTGTTTAGATGCTCCAAAGATACCTTATTCTTTAGTTTTATTTATAGATGAGTCGACTTACATCTACCTTCTGTAGCCAATGTTTTAGAGAACTCGTTGATGTTTGTTTACACAAATTTGAAGCAATCCTACAAGAATTGCCTCGAGCTGCAAGAAGATTATCTAAATTCCAAATTTATATATTGCTAGTTGCTACATATCATTCAGTTTAACTTTGTTTTATTAGTTATTGAAAACCCGAAACATATAGAGATAGGTACCATTATCCAATTAGCTAATTAAATTCTTGTGTTTCTTCTCTATTTCTGTCTCTGCCTTGAAGGATATGGTTCCTCCTAAAGATCCCTACATTAAGGTGAGAGTTTTGGACGATATTGGCCAGGTTGTACTTAGTGATCAAACGGCTAACTTGGCTCGACATGCTATTATGTTCCTCAAACGTACAGATGCTGAGCAATACATTACTCAGGTAAACAATACTTAGGCTATCATCCACATTTTGCTTACTAATAGTATTTTAACTTGGTACAACCATGATGAACCAGGGCCGAATGGAAGAGCTCACGGGTTAAGTTAAACTACTCAAGCTTTGGTGAGAGCTTAAATGCTCATTGACGTGCCAGCTTGAAGAAGTACAATTCTTTTAAAAAGCTTTCATGAATTCTCCTCAGCAAGCAGCTGTGATACCGACTTATAATGTAAAGCTTTGTTTTCTTTTCAATAATCTGTGGACGTAATTTTAATGAGACGAGCATGTGTCTGTACTGCTTTCCTTATTTGGCAAAGCTTTGACTATTGTTAGCTTTGGTCGTTTTGATTAATCTGGTTAAACAGTAGAAAAACCTTATTTGGATTGCGCTTTGACGACAGATAGTTACTCTCAACTCAAATCTACCAAATCATGTTTTGAGCATGTAATGATCAGTACCAATGTACCATCATTAATTTGTGTTTGCAAATGCATAACAATAATTAGGTGAATTTTGTAATTTGTTCACAAAAGAATTATTATAGTGAACTATAAACTCTCCGCATCATTATCTCCAGGACCGGCTCTGATCATAGTTGTGCACTTGTGTTCTCCTGCCAATTCTGCACATTATGAGTTAATATTCTCATCAATCAACTGATATGTCTATTGATGAATGTTTCATAAATGTGGATATTTAATTGAAAATGTCAAAAAGTTTTAATATGTAGTTGGTCTTAATGTGTCCTCGGTCGCGAATAGAGCTGGCGAATTTCGAAAGTAGGAGGCCGCGACGGCGGCGATGGGTTTAACTGCGTTTGCAGTGGCATCAAGAGGTAAAGAGTGCCAGCTGTCGGCAATTGGGTTGTGGAGGTAGCAAGGTAGGCTCCAATACTGGGCCTTTGTCCTTGGGCCTTATTTTTTTATTAAGCACAAATTTGAATGTATCTGAAACCCATTCAACAACAACATCAACACACCAANACACCAAAAAAAAAAAAGGGAAAAAGAAAGTAAAGGTCGCCATCGTTGTGAAGTGCTATCCATTGTTCATCCGCATACCAATTGCATTATTTTTTTCGAAATGGGTTCTCTAGCTGGATTCCCAGCTCTTGGATTGAGGATTCGGTTAGCTCCCGAGGTAGTGCCGTCGACCCTTTTTCGAGGAAGAACGTTTAGAAGCCTTAGAGTTTCAGCATCATCGGCCTCGCCGCCGCCATCCACTGAGTCGATTCGCGTGCGCTTCGCGCCTTCTCCCACCGGGAACCTCCACGTCGGTGGTGCTCGCACAGCACTCTACAATTACTTGTTTGCCAGGTCCAAAGGCGGGAAGTTTGTGCTCCGAATTGAGGACACCGACCTGGACAGATCCACTAAGGAATCAGAGGACGCCTTGCTCCGTGATCTTTCCTGGCTTGGACTTGATTGGGATGAAGGTTCTTCCTCGCTCCTTTTCATCTTACTTCGCGCCTCAAGAAACTATTATATATATGTTGCTTGTCAAAATACCTATATTATATATAAGTATGGATAGAAACCAGTCTTTCTCTCCTTCGTTCGCATTTGCTGCAACACAACCTTTTCCATACAATTGTGTTCCTCTCCGCTGGTTGTTCGATGAAAAATGGAAAAAGAGAATCATCCTCGATGATTATTTGGAGATTTCTTCTCAAGCAAACTTCTTTCCAGGACTCGTTATGTGGAGATCTTCTTCCCAAATCAATCAATTTGTTTTATTTCATCAAAATCAATAATCACAATATACATGTGGAAAACAAATTTTAAGAATAAAGTGAAACTGAGCTAGAAATGCTTGTTGATTGTTGCATGTAATTCAAAGCTTTTGGTTTGGAATAAAGGAGAAAACTATCTCTGCCAGATATTGATGAATATTCTGAAAATAACCCAATTAAACTACGACATTCTAAATGATGTGAAAAATAGGTTATTAACAGATACCGTGTGATTAGTAATTATGAGGAAACAGCAGCTGTTGCTCTCCAAGATGGCAATGTAGATCAGCATTTTTTCCCCTTACTAAAAATATTGGGTTAAATTGGAAATATTTATGGTGCATTTGGTATAATCTGCATTAAAAATATTGCTAAGTAGGTGTCATGATATATATGCTGGTAGACTTGGTAAATTCTGGGGTATATTTATCTGCACCCCTTTTATTCTTTCATGTTTTTAATGTTTATGATTCATGAATGTCATATAAAGGCCCAGGCATCGGTGGAAACTATGGTCCCTACCGGCAGTCTGAAAGGAATGCTCTCTATAAACAGTATGCTGATAAACTCTTGCAAACGGGTCATGTTTATCGCTGCTTCTGCTCAAACGAGGTAATCAAAACTTGATTTTGCTTGTGTTGGCCTGCGTGGTTAACACCATATGTGTTTATCTGCTGAAACACGCTACTAATTTTCACCTAGAAGTGGAGGCTGGAGAAGTACATTTTTGCCTTTTGTCTCTACTTTTTCCTTCTCCTTTTTCTGTTTTCATCCTTTGTGTGCGTGCGCACGAACACTACATTTTGATTCTTCAATTTCTGATGGTGCTAAGTGCTAAATGCAGTGATGTTTACTATGCTTTAATTTATGTCTAGTTTATTGTGATTAATTGTTTTCCTAAAAGGTGAAACTCGTTGCTATTGCTTCATGCCTCATGGCCGATCTCTTACCTTGAGACCCTTGAACACGCACTATACCCACTGATTTCTATCTTTTATTTGCCTTATTCCTCAGTACCTTTTATCCATCTGTGTGTTAAAGTCGATTATCTTTAATTTGTTTGGTGGCTGACTCCATAACTGTTATTTCAGGAGCTTGAACAGATGAAAGAGACTGCTAAGCTGAAACAGTTGCCTCCTGTATACGTTGGCAAGTGGTCTACTGCCACAGAGACAGAAGTTCAAGAGGAGTTGACAAAAGGGACACCTTATACATATCGTTTTAGAGTTCCTAAGACAGGAAGTTTAAAAATCAATGATCTCATTCGTGGTGAGGTATAAATTTGGTACTTTATCCACTGTATATAAATGTGTATCTGTTTCATTTTTGCTTCCTCTTCTTTGTGTTGTGTGTATTAGCTATATTTCTAAATGAATGGCAGACATATGATACGTTTTGAATTTTTTTATTAATCGGCAGGAACCATAAACCTTTTATAAATCCTAATGAGACTTCTATTTGAAAAGAACAAAGGGAGCATCAATACTTATGAGCCTACTTACTGAGATTAAAAAATTCTAATTTTTGAAGCTTACAAGTCTCACATGATTATGGGAAAATCACTCTTCCAAAGATCTTGTGAGAATGGTTTTTATTTTCGTGTAAGAAGTAAAATTATATTTTGGATGAGTGAATGATAGTGAAAATTGTTTGTAAGTTTTGTAAATGAGAACATGTCTGATGTGCTCCTTTTAACTATTCATACAAAAGTCTGAAATATTAGTTTTAGATTCTAGTGTGTATTAAATTGTTAAAGCAAATAGTCGTGCATATTTGTCTAATTGTAAGATGTTTGGGTGGGTAGGTTCTGTAGTATACTGTTTGAAAATTAGGATATATTGAGTACTATAATTGTGATGGTCAGTCTGACTTAGGTAATTTAAATGATTCGTGTGGGATAGATCGATAAGTTTTAACTAGGAATATAACTGGTAATAATGAGCAAACCTTTAGAAACCCTTTGAAAGATGACATTGATGAGAAGAAAGGTAGTAAAGTTTCAGGAAGCATTTGTTACTTTTTGGCCAATTTTCTAAAAGAACAATGGTGTTATCGCCTCTGGAGAAATCCATAACAAGTGTAAAAGTGTTATCTTGAAATATTTTATTTCACATTTCAGTAGTGTACTTCTGTTCTTTTTTTTTTAATTAAAAAAGAGGAACCAACTGCTTATTGTGGAGTTGTGTTTCAGAGAAGGTTTCTTGACCCATACTTATAGTTAAGCATGAATTCTGTTTATTATTGTAAACCACATAAACAATTCTCACGATCGGCACAAATATGTATAAATCACCAATATAAGAGGAAGTATTGACTTATGTTAGATATAGGATTTCTCATGTGAATCATGCTACTGGAGACTGCCTGAATGTGTTGGGTGCTCTATTTTATGATTTTGCACATCATGAGTTGGGAAATTAACAAAAAAGTAACTCAATCTCGGTTTGTTTCCACATTATTTAAGTTTACAGCCCAAGTTATATGACAACCTTGCATGATGTTCCTTTTGGCCGTCCAGGTATAAATAGTTTATGAGAAACGAAGGCCATAAGTTCATGGATATGCAATTTTTGTTTGTGAATTGAGGCTTGCTTGTTCTAGCACATGCATGGAATTTCCAGAATCTTCTGTAGCTCTAAAACTGTGATATTTTGTTATACATCAGCTTATTGCATCAACTGCTTGCCTGATACTCGTGATTCCAACCTATGAGTGGTTACTAATTTATGTTATAGTGTCATAAAGGTCAGTTGGAATTATGAAACACTTGGAGATTTTGTGATTATGAGAAGTAATGGGCAGCCTGTATACAATTTTTGTGTTACTGTTGATGATGCTACCATGGGCATCTCTCATGTTATTAGGTGAGTACAGCTAGCTGAAGCAAGTATTGCTTATGATTCTTTCTTATTGTCTTTGGCCCTTTTGTGTTCTATCTGGATCTTTTTGTATTTCAGAGCAGAGGAGCACTTGCCAAATACCTTGAGGCAAGCTTTGATATATAAGGTACCAACTGGAGCCTGTTTATGTTTTGTTTTTTCTTCTTTTATTTTTGTATGAGGCTTTATTCATTGGATGAGTTGTTTTTTGTGCTTGGCAAGTATTATACATTTATGGTAAACCTAACAAAGATAGAAAACTTCACCGAAACTAGGCTCTGGGGTTCTCAATGCCTACATTTGCACATGTTTCTTTGATTCTTGCACCTGATAAGAGCAAACTATCAAAACGGCATGGGGCAACTTCAGTAGGTCAGGTAATCCATTGGGACATTGGCTTTTTTTTTTTCTTTTTTTTTTAATCTTTCTTGATGCAGTTTAAATGTGGTTCCTTAATAAAAAATCAGTAACTCAGGGTGTTTGAAAAAATGACCTTTACTGTTACTTGCTTCTGATTCTCCGTGCACTTTTCCCTGGACTATCATCTTTATAGTTGAAATTGTACTTTGACAGTTCAAGGAGATGGGTTTTCTTCCTCAAGCAATGGTGAACTATCTTGCCTTATTGGGCTGGGGTGATGGTACTGAGAATGAATTTTTCACCCTTGACGAGCTTGGTTAGTTCTCCTTTTGGAAGATCTGCGCATGTAATGTTAGTTGCAGTTTAAGATGCCTGATTTCATCATTTTCATGACTTGGAAACTCTCACATGGTTTGCAGTTGATAAATTCACCATTGAGCGCGTTAATAAAGGTGGAGCTGTGTTTGACTCTACCAAGTTAAGGTAACTGGACAAGATATGTAGGTAACACTTCATATTTAATGCAAAGAGCTCAGGCATTTTATTTTTATTTTAAATTTCTGGTTCTGTTAGCTGCGACCTTTGTGGTCGATATCCCATTTTTGGTTCTTACTCTGCAAAGGGTAATTACTTTTAATGAATTAATACTGCTTTGCTTCTGTTGTTAACGCGTACTTTTGGTAATGTAAGGTGGATGAATGGTCAATATTTGAGATCTCTTCCAACCGAAGAACTAAACAAGCTCATTGGTGAGCGGTGGAAAAGCGCTGGCTTTGTCACAGAATCAAGGGGGACATTTGTAGAAGTACAGCTGTCTCTTTCATCTCGTTTCTCTCCTTGCAAATTATAGAATCTCTAAAAAAGCAGCTGCTTCAGTCTAGTAACAGCCATCTTGATGATCCTTTATATCACGACTTATGGAGGCTCTTCGGCATGAAGTTTCTGATCGAGCTATAATTACGTTGAGCTTGTTCAGAAATATTTCTTATCTTGTTGAGCAGCTGACTTTTTTTACAATGATAATAAACCCACTCATGCAATTATATGGCTTTCTGTTGTATATCTTTGTATTAGTAATGATAGTTGTCACATTGGCAATTTCATTGATCAGGATGCTGTTCAGCTGCTAAAGGATGGGATTGACTTGATAACAGATGCTGACAAACTTCTTTCAAATCTACTGTCCTATCCTTTATACACAACTCTTGCTAGGTACTTTGAAACTCATGGGTATTTAGTTGCCGGGCTTTTTTTTTTTTTTTTTTTTTTTTTTTTTTTGTTGTAAGACATGGGTTCTCTCGTCGTGGTCTATTTTCATTCAGGATATCTCTAAACTTGTAGGGGACAAAATTACTCTGTTGCTCTAATTTATTGCAAGACTTTTGGTGTTCTAGAATAAGTTTCATGGTGATGTGACGTTAGGGGATACTGCAGAAGTCAAGATATTTATCTGCACTTGAAGGTAGGCCTAGGATTTTATGCGCCTCAGGACAGAATCTTGTATCCATGGAAAAATACATGGATTTAAAGATTAAATGAGTTGAAACCATGCGAAACACTGAAATTACTTGCGTCTATTCTCAGAAAATGCAGAACTGACTCACTGTGCAATGCAGACACAGCTTGAAGACAGTCTGATTAGACTAGTATATGAGTATCTAGGTTGGCTCATGTTTGCGTGACAACTGAGAAAACATGCATCTTTATTAAACATAAATAAAAATGAAAAAATAACAAAGATATTTGCTTTTGATTTAGTTTTCCATTATTGATAAATCAATATGTGACAATCAATGGTGGTGATTGACTGCAGTCCTGAAAGTAAAACTGTCATAGAAGATAAACTGTCTGAAGTTGCTGCAAGTTTGTTAGCTGCTTATGACAGTGGCGAGTTTGTTAGTGCCCTTGAAGAAGGTAGTGGTGGATGGCAGAAATGGGTTAAGAGTTTTGGTAAATCTATGAAACGCAAGGTTAGTTAAGCTAATAATATATTGTCGTTATTTATTTATTGGTCTGTTTAAATATTGCATATGTATATGTTAGTTGTTACTTATGGGCCAAATTGTGCTTATATATAATCCAGGGAAAATCTCTGTTCATGCCCCTTCGAGTTTTGCTGACAGGAATGCTTCATGGTCCTGAAATGGGATCAGCTTTGCTTCTTATCTATGAAGCTGGAAAATGTGGAGTAATAGCTCCTCAATCTGGTTTAGTCACATTGGACGAGAGATTCAAAATGCTTCGAGAGGTTGATTGGGATTCGCTCAATAATTCTACTCTGACTGTCACGTCAGAAGCTGACAGCAGCCCCTTACCCTTACCCGTGTCTAATTGAATTATGATCTCATTTTTGTAGCTATTGCCCGTGTAGGAGCAGCTGATAATAAAACCTTTATATTTATAGTCTGAATTTCTGCTGCATTTTACTATATTAAGTATGTGGATTGATGTCTGGAGTTTTTCAGAACATGTCAGAACAGGTGAATATGTACCAATGTCAGAGAAATATTAGCGGGTTTTTGCTTTTAAGATATCTTGGGATAAGCATTCAATTGCCAGCCAACCGAATTATATTTTTTTTTTTTTTTTTGTATGTACATTTTATTGTTGCAATATAAACTTCGTTGAAGAATCGTCTGTAACGACATTAACTAGAGGTTGCGACCTGAGTAATTGAGTAATTTCAGATCAACAAAAATTAACTATTACTTAACATTTTTGAAAATGATAATCGAACTGACTCTTCTTCAGTAACCGACTTTCGATAAATCTCAAGAACATCCATGATCTTTCAGCACTATTTCCCACGCCAGTTGCCAGACAATTCTCAGGACCATCTCAGCTATTTTGCACCATTGTCTCACCAAGAAGTTGTCAAGAGATTTGCAATTTTAGTATGCCACCAAAAACTACACTTGTACATATCTACCTGCTCGAATGGTACACGAACAAATAGTTGCCCATGAAGAGTCACCACAGTTGACGTATGATGAGGATCACTTCTAGTAGGTAAGCTAACCACCTGGGGAAAAAGTAAAAACACAATTTTGGTGAAACACAATGACCAAAATTTATTTACCTTTTTAAATGGGGCAATAATTCAGGGATTATCATATATTACCAAGCGCCTAGCGTGATCGGACTGTACACGCATGACGCACCATTATTTGAGACTTTTTAACCATTATTTAAAAGTTGAATAAAAAGTCTCAAATGCACACCATCATTTAATATATATTATAAACTTTGATGGTGAAAATTTAATTTTGAGATGAAAGAAAAATGACCTAAAAAACGTGTACAGATGTACACAAAAATTCATAAATCAAAAAATCATAAATAATGGTTAAAAAGTCTCAAACAAAATTACTTTTGCACAGTACACCATCATTTAATATATATTAAAAACTTTGATGGTGAAAAATCAATTTTGAGACGGAAGAAAAATGTCTGAAAGGTCATGTATAGCTATACACGCACTAATACAAAAAATGAAAACACTCAAAAACAATGTTAAAAAAGCTCAAACAAAATTCCTTTAACCACAAGACACCCTCATTTAATATATATTACAAACTTTGATGGTGAAAACGTAATTTTGAGGCGGAAGAAAAACAATTAAAATGGCGTGTACAAAAAAAGTCAAAAATAAAAAACTCGTAGATAATGATTATTTAAACTATATTATAAAATTTGATGGTGAAAATTCAACTTTGAGATGTAAGAAAAACGATAGGAAGGGTGTGTACAACAGTATAAGCAAAAATTCAAAAATAAAAATTTCGTAAATAATAGTTAAAAAAGTTCAAACAAAATTTCTTTCTCAACAATACACCATTATTTCATTTATATTATAAACTTTGGTAGTGAAAATTCAATTTTGAAATAGAATGAAAATGACCGAAATTGCGTGTACAGTTGTATACGCAAAAGTTCAAAAATAAAATAAAAACTCATAAATAAAGATTAAAAAGGCCCAATTTTTTTCCACAATGCACGGTCATTTAATGTATATTAAAAACTTTGATGTTAAAAATTAAATTTTTAGATGGAAGAAAAATGACTAATAGGGCGTATACAACAATACATGCAAAATTTCAAAAATGAAATAAACTTACAAATAATGGTTAAAAAGACTCAAACAAAATTTCTTTTTGCCACATTACAATATTAATTAATGTACATTACAAACTTTAATGGTGAAAATTCAATTTGAGATAGAAGAAAAACTAATAAAAGGGCATGTACAGCTGTACATGCAAAAACCAAAAATAAAAAAAGTCGTAAATAATGATTAAAAAACTCAAACAAAATTTATTTTAGCACATTACACCATTACTTTATGTATAATGCAAACTTTGATGGTGAAAATTAAATTTAAGACAGAAGAAAAACGGCTGAAAGGACGTGTACATCTGTACACGCAAAAATTTAAAAATGAAAAAACTCGTAAATAATGGTTAAAAAAGCTAAAAGAAATTTTCTTTTACTCGTAAATCTATCATTGTATAAAAAGAATAATCTTTTTACAAATTTAGAAACCTTTTCCCACCAAAATCATTAAATATATCCTACATATAGTAATTGTTTGACAAATTTGAATAGGCAAAAAAATTGGCTCATTAATTGTGTAAAGATTTGCTTCTTTTTTTCCTATTTTTTAGTTTATCAAAACCGTTGTTTGACAATAAATATTTGGTTTTCTTTTTCCTATTTTTAGTATAAATCTACACGAGCCCATCTCTTTTGTTACAAAATCTCATTGCATACGTATCACGTGTTTAAAAATCTCATCCTTTATCTATATAGATTTGAAAAAATAAAATAAAATAGAAACTAATTCATAATTACTACTAGAAATTCATTATCTTTAAAAAGAAAAAAATAAAATAAAATAGAAACCAATTCATAATTACTATTAGAAATCCAATATCTACTTTAAGAAGCTAATTTTCATTGGTCTAATTACTAATATTTTTACAAATATTATAAGCACAAAAAAGTATAATAATAATTTTGAAATGGTGTGTAATTAAATTTTTTTTATATTCTCTTATACAAAATAATTTTACATTGTTTGACCCTGAATCTTTAATTTATAATTATTAAGTGTTGTTTATCCTCCTCTTTAATTTATAATTATTTTTTTTTGTCCTCTTTTTAAATAGGATCAATAGTAGTTTCCACTTCCGCCATTGAGTGACTCAAACTCGAGGTCTATTTGTAATATTGTTAATTTAATATTATTTCCGTGTATCGCACGGGGTACACACTAGTAATAGTTAAAAAAGCTAAAACATTTTTTTTTCACAANAAAGAGTAACGTGAAGTCTACAAAATCGTCAGGCAGATCAATAAAATAATTACTAGAATTTTCAGTGTCGAACATGTCGGTGTTTTCTGATCTCGAATGGTTCTATTTCAATATAAGCTGGTTAGGTCCATTTGATGACCTGACTAAACGTAATTAAAAGATTTAAAAAAACGAAAAATCATTTCAGCTCGTGAAGGCCGTCGTACCTAATTAACATTAACAGATGATTGGAAATTGAATGTAACGCAAAATTCCTTCATTTTGGTGAACACACTTGTACACAAATTAAGCGTTATATATTTCAAACCTATATTATGATGGTGGCCGATTTAACGCACATATAATTACAATACCACGTGTCCAGCAATTTATATATTAAATCAACGAATCTTTTATTCTGTTAACTGTTAGGCTCGACCAAAATTGACTCTTGTACAGTTCGTTGCAGCTGAAGCTCTACAGTTGCACTATTTCAATTAAGTTGAACAAACACAATAATTTTGCTAATTGCTATTGTAAAAGTAACCTTTAAATTCGAATTGGAAAAACAGATCATGTTGAATGAAAAAGGAGTAATCTTGAGGACGAATTGATGTATGTGCAAGGCTCCAAGCCATCAGATCATATTAAACATGTGCACACGATTGGATATGTGTTAGATCCAACGGTTCACACCAATCTTTAATTCAAATGGATCGAATCAAACCCAGCTTCAACACTCAACAGTTTAGTTAAAGTGAAATTGATCAACAAGTTATTCATCAAAAATTTCCCTGCATAATACTTAAAATCCAGCTGCTGTGACTTCTAAATTCAAGATTATATTGGAAAGGCATATAATCAAATTTGCAAGCCAGAAATTGTTGCCACAAAAGTAAACTCCAAAGACAACATCATATATAGTACACAAAAACTAGAGAAAAACACTAACCAAAAAAACAAGAAAAACTATCCCTAAAAGCCTAAAAAACACTATCAAGATCAGAAAATAAAATCAAAAAAGAAAAAAACCACAAACTTTTAATCAATCGACCTGGGATTCTCACACACAGCTTTAATCGGGACGGGCTTAGTAATACACAGCGTATCCCCACCTCACATCAGGCCACGCGCTTCCCGGACCTCGGCGGCCGGCGGCGCGTCTTGCTGTCCTTCCCAAAAGCCCCGCAAAATCCGCAGGCCGAAACCCTAGGAGACGGCGGCTCGATCGCCGGCGAGACTCTCCCGGTGCGGAATCCGCCGTTGGATCGGCTCCTCGGGATGGTCAATCCGGCCGGCCGCAGCTCACCGCCTCCGTCGCCGTCCGCTTCCAATTGCTGGGCTTTGACGTCCGCTTCCGATCGTTGGTGTTTGGCGTCCTTCTGCTGGGCGGCGAGCTCGCCGGATAATAATTTGTCGTCCCATACCAAACCAGAGGAGCCTTGTCTCCTGAATGAGACTGCGGATCTCTGCAAACCTGCCATAGTCTGTCGCTTATTTTCTTTTTTCTTTTTTATTTTATTTTTGTTTTGTCCCCTTTTCACTTTGTGGTTTTTGGAGTGTTGGGTGTTTTCTTTTGGATGAGGGCTGTTTTAAAGCCTATTACTTTCTTTTTTAACTAGTGTGTACCCCGTGCGATGCACGAGAACAATATTAAATTAACAATATTATAAATAGACTTCGAGTTTGAGTCAATGGCGGAAGTAAAAACTACTATTGGTCGTATTTAAAAAGAGAAAGAAAAAAAATAATTATAAATAAAAGAGGAGGATAAACAATACTTAATAATTATAAATTAAAGATTCGGAGTCAAACAATGTAAAATGATTTTGTATAAGAGAATATAAAAAAATTTGATTACACACCATTTCAAAATTATTATTATACTTTTTTGTATAGTTAGCTTAGAATATTTGTAAAAATATTAGTAATTAGACCGATGAAAATTAGCTTCCTAAAGTAGATAATGGATTTCTAATAATAATTATGAATTAGTTTCTAATTTTATTTTATTTTTTTCTTTTTAAAGATAATGGATTTCTAGTAGTAATTATGAATTGATTTCTATTTTATTTTATTTTTTCAATTCTGTATAGATAAGAGATGAGATTTTTTAAACACCTAAGATCGTATGCAATGAGATTTAAGCTCGTGTAGATTTATACTAAAAATAAGAAAAAAAAAATATTTATTGTTAAAACGATAAATTGGAAAAAGAGAAACAAATCTTTACACAATTAATGAGCGAATTTTTTGGCCTATTCAGATTTGTCCAACAATTAATATATATAGGATATAT